ATTCGAGAAGAGTCACAGGGCTTGTAAGATACCGTTGGAAACCTCATTCAGAGCCCGTCGATGTAGACTAATGTAGAACATCTAGCAATTGAATACATGGAGCTAGGATGAATGTTAGAAGTCCGTATGTAAAGCCCAATGGGCTTAAATGCGCATGCCCCCTTTAGACGGCCATAACTTTTGATACGGGAAGAGTTACGGAGCCTGTAAGACACGGTTGGAAAGGTCAGTCAGAGCCCGTCAGAAGTCCATTGATGTGTACTAATGTAGAATGTTTGATGAAAGAATTCATGGAGCGGGCTGAACGTCAGAAGTCCACGGGTAAAGCCTAAAAGGCTTGAATGAGCATGTCCCATTCAGACGACCATCACTTTCGAACCTGAAAGACTTACGGGACATATAAGACACCATTGGAAAGCTCATTCAGAGCCTGTCAGAAGTTCATCGATTTGGACTAATGTAGAATCTTTGACTAATGAATTCATGGAGCGGGCTGAATATAAGAAGTCCATGCATAAAGCCTAAAGGGCTTAAATGAGCATGTCCCATTCAGACAGCCATAACTTTTGATCTAGGAAGAGTAAAGAGGCCTGTAAGATATCATTGGAAAGCTCATTCAGAGTCCGTTGACGTGGACTAATGTAGAGTATTTGGTGGTTGAACTAATAGAGCCAGGTTAAACGTAAGAAGTCCGTTTGTAAAGCCAAGAGGGCTTAAATGAGCATCCCCCATTCACACAGCAAAACTTTTGACCCGAGAAAAGTTACGGGGCCTTTTAGATACCGCTGGAAAGCTCATTCAGAGTCCGTTGACGTGGACTAATGTAGAGTATTTGGTGGTTGAACTAATAGAGCCAGGTTAAACGTAAGAAGTCCGTTTGTAAAGCCAAGAGGGCTTAAATGAGCATCCCCCATTCACACAGCAAAACTTTTGACCCGAGAAAAGTTACGGGGCCTTTTAGATACCGCTGGAAAGCTCATTCAGAGTCCATCAAAAGTCTATTGATCTGGACTCATGTAAAATGTCCAGCGGATGAATTCATAGAGCGGGCTGTACGTCAGAAGTTCGTGCATAAGGCCTAGAGGGCTTAAATAAACATGTCCCATTCAGACGGCCATAACTTTTTATCCTAGAAGACTTACGGGGCCTACAAGATACTGTTGGAAAGCTCATTTAGAACCTATCATAGGTCCATTGATGTAAACTAAGATAGAGCATTTGGCAGATGAATTCATGGAACCGTCCGAATGTCAAAAGTCCGTGTGTAAAGCCCAAATGGCTTAAATGAGCATGTCGCATTCAAACGGCCATAACTTTTGATTCGAGAAGAGCTACGGGGCCTTTAAGATACCATTGGAAAGCTCATTCAGAGCCTATCTGAAATCCATCAATGTGGACAAACATAGAATGTCTAATGGATGAATTTATCGAGCGGGTTGAATGTCAGAAGTTCGTCCATAAAGCACAAAAGGCTTAAGTGAGCATGTCCCATTTAGATGGCAATAACTTTTAATCTGGGAAGAGTTACCGGGCTTGTAAGATACTGTTAGAAAGCTCATTTAGAGCCTGTCGATGTGGAATAATGTAGAACATTTGGCAAATGAATACATGGAGCCAGGATGAATGTTAGAAGTCGATGTGTAAAGCCTGAAGGCTTAAATGAGCATGCCCCATCCAAACGACCATAACTTTTGATACGAAAAGAGTTACGAGGCCTGTAAGACACCGTTGAAAGGTCATTTAGAGCCCATCAGAATTCCATCGACATGAACTAATGTAGAATGTCTGATGGAAGAATTCATGGAGCGGGCTGAATGTCAGAAGTCCATGGGTAAAGCCTAAAGGGCTTAAATTAGCATGTCTCATTCAGACGACCATCACTTTTGATCCGAGAAGACTTATGGGGCCTGTAAGACACCTTTGGAAAGCTCATTTAGAGCCCGTCAGAAGTTCATTAATATGGACTAACATGGAATGTTTGACGAATGAATTCATGGAGTGGGCTAAATGTCAGAAGTCTTTGCGTAAAGCCTAAAGAGCTTAAATGAGCATGTCCCATTCAGATACCGTTGGAAACCTCAGTCAGAGCCTGTTGACGTGGAATGATGTAGAATATTTGGTGATTTAACTCCTAGAGCTAGGCTGAATGTCAAAAGTCCGTGTGTAAAGCCCAAAGGGCTTAAATGAGCATGCTCCATTCACACAACATTAACTTTTGGTCCGGGAAGAGTTATAGGGCCTTTAAGATATCGTTGTGAAGCTCATTCAAAGCCCATTAGAAGTCCATTGATGTGGACTCACGTAGAATATCTGGCGGATGAATTATAGAGCAGGCTGTATGTCAGAAGTCCGAGTGTAAAGCCCAAACGGCTTAAATGAGCATGTCCCATTTAGATGGCCATAACCTTTGATCCAAGAAGAGTTATAGGGCTTGTCAGATATCGTAGGAAAGCGTATTCAGAGCCCGTCAAAATTCCACCAACGTGGACTAACATAGAATGTCTAGCAGATGAATTCATGGAGCGGGCTAAACATTAGAAGTCCGTGCATAAAGCCTAAGGGGCTTAAATGAGCATGTCCCATTCAGACAGCCATAACTTTTGATCCGAAAAGAGTTACAGAGCCTGCAAGACACCGTTGGAAAGCCTATTCAGAGCCCGTTGACATGGACTAATTGTAGAATAACTAGCAATGAATTCATGGAGTGGGTTGAACGTCATAAGTCCAAACATCAAGCTTAAAGGGCTAAAATGAGCATGCCCCATTCAGATGGCCATAATTTTTTATCTGAGAAGAATTATGAGGCCTTCAAGATACCGTTGGAAAGCTCATTCATAGCCCATCAACATGGACTATGTAGAGTGTTTAGCCGATGAAGTCAGGGAGCATGGCTGAATACCAAAAATCCATCCATAAAGCCTAAAGGGCTTAAATGAGCATGCCCCATTCAGAAGGCCATAACTTTTGATCTGGACAGAGTTACGAGGCCTGTAAGACACCATTGGAAAGCTCATTCAGAGCCCGTCAGAAGTCTATTGACGTGGCCTAGTGTAGAACATCTAACAGATGAATTCATGGAATGGGTTGAACGTTAGAAGTCCGTGCATAAAGCCCAAGAGGCTTAAATGAACATGTCCCATTCAGACGGCCATAACTTTTGATTCAAGAAGAGTTATTGGGCCTGTAAGATACCGTTGGAAGCTCATTTTGAGCCCGTCAGAAGTTGATTGATGTGGACTAAGTAGAATGTGTACTGATGAATTTATGGAATGGGCTGAATGTCAGAAGTCCATGCGTAAAGCCCAAAGGGCTTAAATGAGCATGTCCCATTCAAACAGCCATAACTTTTGATCTGGGAAGAGTTACTGGTTCGTAAGATACCATTGGAAAGCTCATTCAGAGCCCGTCAGAAGTCTATCAAGGTGGACTAACATAGAATGTCTAGCGAATGAATTCATGCTGTGAGCTAAACGTAGAAGTTCATACATAAAGCCCAAAGGGCTTAAATGAGCATATCCCATTTAGCCGGCCATAACTTTTGATCCAAGAAGAATTACAGGGCATGTAAGATACCATTAGAAAGCTTATTCAGAGCACGTCAGAAGTTTATCAATGTAGACTAATGTAGATTGTCTGGTGGATGAATTCATGGAGCGGGCTGAACATAAGAAGTCTGTGTGTAAAGCCCAAAGGGCTTAAATGAGCATGTCCCATACAAATGGCCATAAATTTTGATCCAGGAAGAGTTACGGGGCTTGTAAGATACAAATAGACATAAGATGTTAGGTATGCAAATAGACATGATGGAGATGCATATAGACATGATGGAAAACGCGTAAGCATATCCTCGTATACCGGTTGATGAAAGATTAATATATGCTTTAGATGCTAAATAATGCGTAAGCACGCCTCCCGATGATATGAGCTCTAGATGAATTTGAGGCTAAATGAGAGATAAGATAAATATATGCCTTAGATGTTAAATAACACATAAGCACGCCTCCCGATGATATGAGCTCTAGATGAATTTGAGGCTAGATGATATGAAGTGCTTAAGATGCTAAGAAAAGTCTGATCGGGTAGATGTTAAATGGTTCATATGCATTTAGTTGCATTACATGAGATATGATGTTATTTACATCATGTGATGATTTATACTACATGTTAGATGATTTTAGATGTTATGTCATGACATATGATGTGTGTGTACTCTGTTTACATACTTATTTGTATGTGTACACATTGATGTTTATATATCCATGAGATAAAATGATGAAAAGCATATGAATTAGTAAGAAAAGGGAAGCATACCTAGATGTAAAAGACAAATATGTTTAAATGAGGGTCAAATAACACATTTAAAATGAAATGGATCATTCCTTATTGAGTGATTAGCGCTCACCCTTTGATTGTTGATTGCTTTGCAGGTGGACCAAAAGCAAAGGATGCTAGAGACAGCGGGGCTACACGTGACGGGAGATGATTTCTTGTCATCTTGATGTTTTTATCTTGATGTAGATAATGTAAATGATAAATGTTTGTGAAACACCTTCGGAAGCTTCCACCCTATAAATATGTTTTGATTTAATTTCTGGATAAATTCTTAAAGTTTTCTGAAATTATAAGTTTGGATCCTGCGTGACATCTTATATGCATATTTTGGATATTGTTATTATTATCTTTACACAGGTTTTTTCTAAATACAACTCGTTCTCCAGACATGTATCCTCAGGATTCTTATTGAGGGATATTCAGATGATACCTGACTGGAGGGGGGTTTTACATTTGGTATCAGAGCAAGTATTTTGTTACTTTAAAAAGGGGTGTTTTAAGATGTTTTCTATTACGGAGTCATGCATTTATGAGAGTTGATGATCGTATCCCTCATGTAAAGTTCCGCTGCTCAAGTTGTCCAATCGCTGTAAGTATGTTTACGTGATTTTATGTAAGGATTGATTAGATAATTAACGTTATATGTGTGACTGTGATAAGGAATAAATATGAGGAAAACCAGGAGAACGGATCCAGGTCGCAGTGATGCTTCGAATGCACAAGATGTTCCAACTGCACCTAAAACTTCTAACCCAACAACTGCTACTTCAAGCGCTCCGGGTTTAGATGTTGCAACATTGGAGCGTATGATCCAGGAGGCTATTAATAGAGCTTTAAGGAGAACCCCGCCAAAAAGTACAGGGACTCCGGTGACAACAGTAACAACCAATGTGGTACCAAGTCAAGCAATAGGGACGAGTACTCAAGAACCAATGGTTGCTCTAAAGTAGATAGAACCGATTTATGGCCTCTCAAGTAAACATCAGCCTCCAGAATTTAGCGGCACTAATGATCTAGTAGTAGTAGAGCAATGGATCAAGTTGGTAGAGAAAGCTACTGCTCTATTTCCTATGACAGATCAAGAGAAGATCCGGTATGCTACGTACTTATTGAGAGGAGATGCTATGACATGGTGGGAGCTTATGGAGCAGACTCAAGATACCACCACTCTCACTTGGTCAGGGTTCAAGGAATTGTTTGAGGAACAGTACCGAACAGCAGACATGATGTCCTCTAAACTACAAGAGTTTATTAGTCTGCAACAAGGAAATATGATGGTCAAAGAGTATTCAATCAAGTTCAACTCTTTGGCTAAGTTTGCACCGACACTGGTCAGTACACCACAGACCCGATTGGAGAGATTTGTGGGTGGACTTCATACTACTATCGCCGGAGATGTTATGTCAAGTCATCAGCCTTCCCAAACATATAGTAAAGCACTCTCCAAAGCCATCAGAGCAAAGGTGTACTTAAGGAAAGAGACCAGATTAGCTCTTCCCCCAATAATGGCAAGTAGTCCTCTCTAGCTTGGCCAGTCTAGTAGTGTAGAACAAGTTGTTGGCAAAGACGATAAGGGTAAAGGCAAGAAAGGAGTCCCACCTAAAGCCAACAGGAAGGTCATCAAGAAAAAGGGCCAATAGAGGAAATGAGAGATTAGTTATTGTAAGAAATGTCGAAGGAGACATAGGGGTGAATGTCTAGTGGGGACCAATGTTTGTTTTAGATGCCCCTAGTTAGGTCATATTGCTAGAGATTGTCCTATTAGTTCTGTAACTTCAGTGCCTGCAGTTGGAGGTGTTAGAGTAGATGCCCTAGAGCCAATCAATTATTGTAGAATTGACTCTTTGTAATAATGTTCATTAATCAATAAAAGGCATTTTATTCTATATCGCGTAAATCATTATTATTGCAATATGTATTGATATATGTCCTTAGAATGGTAGANATGAGATGAAATTCGTTCAAGCCAAAGGAGAGAGCCTTTCTTCAACATTTCTTCCATTTTCTCTCAAATCTTCCATGAAACAAGCTTTCTTTCTCTAGGTTTTCAAGGAGTTTTGCATAATTTTTCAAGGAGAACAAGATAGGAGCCTTGGATCTTCAATTAGAAGGGTTTAAGGTAAGGATTAAAAACTTTAGTTTTGATGTGATTTGAAGATTTGAGGTAGATGTTGAGGTATAATGTTATATATGTAGGATTAAGGTGTAAAAGAAGTCAAAGGCAAAGGATTTGTTGGAGGAAGTCTTTAAAAAGGTAAGGAAGAACCTCCCATGACTTTAGGGTTTATGCTAGGGTTTGTAGATTTTTATGAAACCTTAAATTAAGGCTTTAAGGCATAGAATTAGTTGATGGCAAGTGTAGTTGAACTCATTTATTCTACTTATTGCCTTGAATTCATTATACATGAAGTTATTGCTCTTTATGTTTTATGAGTTGTTATGTTTGATTGAAGAAAATGAAGTGTGGATACTGATTGTGGCAAAAATTGTAGTATTGGAGGCCACATGGTGTTGAATGGTTGCTATTAGAAGTGTTGATGTGTTGTTTGCATTAGCTCACAATGTTATAGCAATAATGGATGATTATGGAAATGAGATTTTACACTTCCTTTAAGATGTTAAAGACTATTAAGGGGAGGTTTATTTGATCCACAAGTTAACCTATTGGTTAATGTCAATAGGAATTGATGTGGCATAGTTAATATGAAAATTCGGATTTAATGGGCTTAGGGGTTTTGGTAACCCTGCTTCTGTATTTCGACCATAACTTGAGTTATAAAAATCGAAATGAGATGATTCTTGAAGCATTAGAAAGCTAAGACACAGACCTATAACTTTTATGTTTATGCCAAGAGCCAATTCGTTTGAGAAAAGGATGGAAAATGGCCTGAAGCATAAACTGGTTATTAAAGTTTAAGATTTAACATAATCAATTCTTATGATTATGAATTGATTATTAATGTATTATTGTAATTATGCCATGTACTAATGTTTACCCATTAGTTAGATGATCTTTGAAAGATATACATGGTCATGATGTCAATACATGATTAATGTTATGAAATGGCATGAAGATGCAATGTAATACATGTTTTAAGATGATGTATGTGAGCAAGAGGTAATGTAAATGGATTGATAATCCATAGATGAATTAAAAGTATTAAGCTCACCAAAATATGTATTTACATGCCATAAGATGTTAGAGATTCATATAGACATGATGGGAAATGTGTAAGCATATCCTCGTATCCGCGTAAGCCCAGTAAACTTCTAACTTCTTTCATTGTCTTTGGCCTCTGCCACTCGAGCACCGCCTCTACTTTACTAGGATCCACTGATGCACTGTCTTTAGAGATCACATGACCCAAAAAGGTAACTCGATCCAACCAAAACTCACATTTTGAAAATTTGGCATACAACTATTTCTCTCTTAATCTTTGTAACACAAATCTTAAGTGCTCGGCATGTTTTTCTAAAGTCTTGGAATAAACTAGGATATCATCAATAAACACCATTTCAATGGACAGAGGCATGCGAGCAAAGCTTTCAAGAGCTGAAGAAAAGATTAACTACAGCTCCAATTCTTACATTGTCAGAAGTAGGCATTGATTATGATATTTACGTTGATGCCTCTCACAATGGTTTGGGAGCAGTGTTGATGCAGCAAGGGAAAGTCATTGCTTATGCCTCTAGACAACTGAAAGACTATGAGAGCAAATATCCTACCCATGACTTGGAATTAGTAGCAGTGGTTTTTGCTCTGAAGATATGGCGACACTACTTATATGGAGTGAAATGGAACATATACACTGACCATAAGAGTTTGAAGTATTTCTTCACTCAGAAAGAGTTGAATGACTTGGAATTAGCAGCAGTGGTTTTTGCTCTGAAGATATGGCGACACTACTTGTATGGAGTGAAATGCAACATATACACTGACCATAAGAGTTTGAAGTATTTCTTCACTCAGAAAGAGTTGAATATGAGACAGAGGAGATGGTTAGAATTGGTGACAGACTATGACTGTGACATCAGATACCATCCAGGGAAAGCTAATGCAGTAGCAGATGCCCTTAGTAGAAAAGTCTCTTTATCTCAAATCACTGTACAGGGACAATTACAGCAGGAGATCCTCCAAGAAGGAATTGAAATTGTGATCAAAGGAGGATTGGCCCAAATGGAGATCAAACCCACTTTGGTGGAGGAGATCAAGATGAAACAAGGTAAAGATGATACCTGCAAGGTGATCTGCCAACGGATAATAGAGGGTAAAGAGACAGACTTTAAAATAGTCAATGGGGCACTGATGTTTAGAGATAGAATATGTGTACCTCAAGATGATGAACTAAGGAATAAAATCCTTAGTGAGGCACACAATACACTTTATACAGCCCACCCTGGGAGTGTAAAAATGTATCAAGATGTGAAGAAAAGTTATTGGTGGTCAGGTATGAAAAACGACATTGCCGATTATGTTGCCAGATGTTTAACATGTCAACAAGTAAAGGCAGAGCATCAGAGACCATCAGGATTACTCCAACCCTTAGAGATTCCTAAATGAAAATAGGAGGATATCTCAATGTACTTCATTATGGGACTTCCTAAAGTTCAGCAAGGATATAATGCAATCTAGGTGGTGGTTGATAGATTGACTAAGACAGCTTATTTTCTACCTATGACAGATAAGATAGATGTATTTCAATTGGGGCAATTATATGTCAGAGAGATTGTGAGATTACATGGAGTACCTAAGACGATCGTATCTGACAGAGATACCAGGTTCATATCAGCTTTCTGGGTTGGAATGCAGAGAGCATTGGGTACAAAGTTAGCCTTCAGTATGGCTTATCATCCTTAAACTGATGGCCAAACTGAAAGGACCAATTAGGTGATTGAAGACATGCTGAGAGCTTGTTGTATGGATCACAAGGCAAAATGGAGTGATGTACTTCCACTAATAGAATTTGCCTATAATAACAGCTACCAATCCACTATCCGAATGGCTCCATATGAAGCATTATATGGAAGAAGGTGCAGATCCCCTTTGTACTGGGATGATATTGGAGAAAAAGACTCCTTGATTCAAGCAGTTGGACCAGAGATGACCCAAAAAATGATTGAAGATGTTAAGCTTATTAGAGAAAGAATGAAGCAAGCTCAAGATCGACAAAAGATCTATGCCGACCTAAAAAGAAAAGAAGTGGAATTCCAAGTGGGTGATAAAGTTTTTGTAAAAGTTGTGCCTTATAAACATATTATGAGATTTGGAAAGAAAGGCAAGCTCGCTCCATGTTACATTGGACCCTTTGAAGTATTGGAAAGGGTAGGCCAAGTAGCTTATAGACTTGCGCTGCCAATGAGCATGGAAAGAGTCCATAATGTTTTCCATGTCTCTTTGTTGCGTAAGTATGTTAGTGATCCTTCACATGTGCTTCAGATGGAGGAAGTGGAATTACAGGATAATTTGGCTTATGAGGAACGCCCAGTTCAAATCCTTGACAGAAAGGTAAAAGAGCTCAGAAACAAGCAAATTCCACTAGTTAAAGTACTTTGGAGGAATCACAAGATAGAAGAAGCTACTTGGGAAATGGAGCAAGATATGAGAAGTCGATACCCGGAGCTGTTTCTATAATTTCGAGGACGAAATTATTGTAAGGGGGGAGGAAATGTAATACCCAAGATATCAAAGGTATGTTCCTAACTCAAAATAGTCCTTTAGATGTTAATTTTATGTAAAAAGCATAAAACATAACTAACGGCAAAATAGTCGATTCATTTGGAACAGTATGAATCAATTTCCATAGAACGCATTAGGGGCACATGGTCATTTTGCCTATGGATAAGCATGAAAAAGTCAAGGATGAGTAGGCTTCATTGCATTTAATGGCGTTAATTGATTATTATGTATTATTGTAATTATGCCATGTACTATGTTTACCCATTAGTTAGATGATCTTTGAAAGATATACAGGTGTCATGATGTCAATGCATGATTAATGTTATGAAATGGCATGAAGAGGCAATGTAATATAATGTTTTAAGATGATGTATGTGAGCAAGAGGTAATGTAACTGGATTGATATCCATAGATGAATTAAAAGTATTAAGCTCACCAAAATATGTATTTACATGCCATAAGATGTTAGAGATTCATATAGACATGATGGGAAACACGTAAGCTATTCCTCGTATACAGGTTGAGGAAAGATGAATATATGCTTTAGATGCTAAATAACGTGTAAGCACGCCTCCCAATGATATGAGCTCTAGATGAATTTGTCTAGATGATATGAATTGCCTTTAAGATGCTAAGAAAAGTCCGATCGGCTAGACATTAAATGGTTCATATGCGTTTAGTAGCATTACATGAGTTATGATGTTATTTACGTTATGCGATGATTTATGCTCATGTTAGATGATTTTAGATGTTATGTCATGACATGTGATGTGTGTGTACTATGTTTACATACTTATTTGTATGTGTACACATTGATGTTATATAGCCATGGGATAAAATGATGAAAGACATATGAAATAGAAGAAATATATATATATATATAAAGTAAAAGGGGAAGCATCCCTAGATGTAAAAGATAAGTGATGTGTTACCAAATATGTTTAAATAAAGATCAAATAGCACATTTAGAATGAAATGGATCATTCCTTACTGAGCGATTAGCGCTCACCCTTTTATTGTTGATTGCTTTACAGGTAGACCAGAAGCAAAGGATGCTAGAGACAGCGGGGCTACACGTGAGGGGAGATGATTTATTGTCATCTCGATGTTTTTATCTTGATGTAAATAATGTAAATGATAAATATTTGTGAAACACTTTTTGGAATATTCCACCCTATAAATATGTTTCGAATGTGTATTTTATAGATAAATTCTTAAAGTTTTGAAATTATATGTTTGGATCCTGCATGACATTTTATATGCATGTGTTGGATATTACTATTATTATCCTTACACAGATATTTTTTCTAAATACAACTCGTTTTCCAGACATGTATCCTCAAGATTCTCATTGAGGGATATTTAGAGGATACCTGACTAGAGGGGGGTTTTACATCTTGATATTGGAATAAACTTTTCTAAAGGGTGAATTCAATAAAGTTATTCCTTACCACCTATCCTTGCATTGGTCAGCTGTTTTATTATATAAACTTTTCTCCAATGCAATTTTTGTTAAGCCTGATATCTCTATGAGAAGTACACTAAAAATTCTCTTACATTTTACTTTGTTTTTGTCAAGTTTCTATGCTTAGGTAAAGCTTTAAAATACCTCCTTCAAAGTACCTAAAATGCATCGTTGCTCATTACATGTTGTTTGTAGTTGATGTGTGAAGCTTGTTGAGCTTTTTTCACTGGAGCGCGTCTACATTACTAGTCCTTGAGAGAAGCTCAAGGTTGACTGAGTTGATTGTGTGTTTTTGTAAGCTCACCATGGTTGTACATTGTTCAACTAAAAGGTAGAGATTAAAGCGTTGCAAAACAAGGGTGTTTTGGCAATTGAGGCTTAATCTTTGGCTTTGTAATTGAACTGTAAAGTAAACCTAATGGATTAGCTTCATTTTGGACTTGGTCCCATAGATGTAGGCATTTTGCTAAACCATGTAAAAATCTTGTGTGTTTTACTTGGGTTTATTTTTATTGCTTTATGTTTATGTTTAATGAACTTTTAAAATCAATATAGTAACCATTTCTACTTAAGTTTTAATTCACTTGGTAATATTAAAACTTTTAATTGGTATCAGAGCTTGTTCTGGAAAGTTACTTAAGTTGATCCTTACTTCTTGATTGTTTTTTTTCTGCTTTTTGATCTGTTTCATTTTGGTTTATTTTTCATGTTTTTCTGCAATTTTTTTTGCTATAGACCTTGTGTGACCACCTTGGGGTTTTGTGATCACCCCGTATTGGATTTTGTTTTTTGTGACCGCCTCTGTGTTGTTTTTGTCACCTTTGTCTTTTTTTTTGTAGGTGACCACTGAAGTCTTGTGTGATCACACTAACAGTTTGTTCATAATGGGTTCTTTTGGTGTAGGAAGGTCTACCACATGACCACCCTTGTTGGAAGGAAGCAACTATATGTTTTGGAGGCCTGGGATGCATGCCTTTTTGAAATCTATTGATGAGAGGGCTTGGCATAATTGTTTCGTTGGTTGGCAGGAACCTAAAACTGATGAAGCAAGTGGGAGTCAAGGAAAGTCCCTTGATAAATGGACCAAGGAAGAGTTAGAAGCATCTAATTTTAACTCTAAAACACTTCATGCTATTTTTAATGCTGTTAGTATAGGTCAAATGAAAAATATTGCAAATTGTGAAATGGATGGGATAGACTCCAAATTAAAAATCATGGAACTAATATTGTGAAAAAGACTAGACTAAGAAGATTAATCATGGATTATGAAAATCTTGTTATGCATGATAATGAAACCATTACTGATTTTCATGGCAGATTGTGTGATATCACTAATGAGTGTTTTGCTTTAGGAAAAATCTTTTCTGATGTTGAACTTGTTAGGAATGTGTTGTGATCCTTACCTCAAAGATTTATATCCAAAGCAACCTTTATTGAAGAATGTTGCAACCTTGATGAAGTACAACTTGATGAATTGACTGGATCTTTGTAGACCTTCGACCTTAACCCGAATCGATGGGAAAAGAAATCAGGTAAAAGGCTTGCGTTAAAGCATGAGGTAACTTCTGATTCTCTGGTTAACTATGATGTTAGTGATAATGAAGATGATGAACTTGGTTTAATCACAAAAAACTTCTCAAAATTCCTGAAAAAAGAACATGAGAAAGTTGAATATAGCTAAAAAGGGAAAACAACCCTTTGTCAAAAGATTTTTTGACTAATTTGTCAAGGAGGATTCTCGAAAAGATTTTCGAGAGAAAATGAAAAGAAAAATAAAGTAATCAGATGTTTTGAGTTTGAAGGCTATAGCCATATTCAATCTGAGTGTGTGAACACTCTAAAAAAAAAAGAAGGGAAAAGCCATGGCTGCCACCATGAGTGAGAGTGATGACTCCGAGAGCGAGGGTGATGACACACTAGAAAATGAACAATTCGTAGCCTTTGTGGCTAACCAAGAGGACCGTGACAGTGTGTCCTCGGATGACTCTAGTGATGTATATAAAGAGCAACATAAGGCTTATGACAATATGTATGAGGCTTGGTTAAAAGGCATAAAGAGAATTAAATCTCTTGAACCTGAAAAATCTCACTTGTTAGAAGATAGGAAAATTTTGAATGACAAAATGAAAGTCTTGTTGTCTGACTTGTCCAATAAGGAAATTTTGTTGAATCAAGCTTTAAATGAACTAACTGGGGCCAAGACCATTGTTGAAAGGTTAAATGCAGGTTCATACAAGCTTGATGATGTTCTTAGACAAGGGAAGATGTTTGGTGATAAAACAGGTTTGGGATTTTCTCCTGGTGCTAGCACTTCCAAACCTGGAGTGACCATTGTGAAAACCATTGAATCAATTCAGAAAACTATTACTGCCCCACATGATCAGACCTTGATGGTAAAACGTTTCATTCTTATTTGTCATTTTTGCCAAAAGAAAAGTCATATCTGACCAAACTATTTTAAACTCATTTCATATTTGAAAAGATGCATTGGAAATAATGATTTTAATTCAGTAAGGTCACCAACTCAGTTTCTCGGGTCACCATGTCAGAAATTTTTTTTCAAAAACTGTAAAATGTGGAAACCTAAGCTTAATGCTAATTATCTTGTTGCCAATACTTCATTGCTGGCTTTTCAAAATGATTTATGGTACTTTGACAATGCATGTTCAAGACACATGACACATAACAAACTCTTATTAATTAATCTTGAATATGTGGAAGAAGGTCATGTTACCTATGGTGATGGGAAAAAGGGTAAGATCCTTGGAAAATGTTCTATTGTTTTTCTTGGTTTCCCAATGTTAAATGATGTGTTTTATGTTGAAATTCTAAAGGAAAATCTTATTAGCATTAGTCAAATCTGTGACAAAGATTATGACGTTCAATTCTAAAAAATATAAGTGTCAAGTTTTGAATGCTAATGGTTCTTCTTTGCTAGAGGGAAAGATATCAAATGATAATTGCTATCTTTTATCTAACAATGTTTCTTGTTTAAGCACCAAATCAAATTGTGTTGACCTTTGGCACAAGAAACTGGACATATGAACTTCAAAGATCTCGTAAAACTCTCCAAGAAGGATGTCGTTCAAGGATTGCCAAAACTTGTGTTTCCCAAAGGTAAAATATGTGGACCTTGTCAACAAGGTAAGCAAACTAAGAGCTCTCACAAATCTTTATCTCATTTGACTACCTCATGTGTTTTAGAACTTCTTCATATTTAAATGTCTTGTGAAAAGGTTGTGGGTTGAGCAAAACAATTGTGTTAAGAAAGTAATAAGGATAAGAAGTGATCATAAGAGAGAGCCCAAAAATTCTGATTTTTCTAACTTCTGTGATACGTAGGGCATTTGGCATGAATTTTCTACCCCTATGACATCACAACAAAATGGTGTTGTGGAAAGAAAGAATAGAGTCCTTCAAGAGATGGCAAGAGTAATGTTGATGTTAGGAAACAATCCATTGATGCAGCGGAAAACAAAAATTAATAACAACACGGATCGTTCCATAGAACCAAGATCAGAGCACAAATTTA